TTTTTTTTTTTTTTTTTTACAGCGCTTGCGCTTTTCTTGAAGCTGAATTAATACAATTTCATTTACAAGAAAATACTTTTAAAAATTCATGCCAAAAGCATGAATCTTGTGCCTTACAGGAAAAAATGTTCATAGCGATGTAATAATATATACAATAACCGAAGAATAAAATCCTGGACCCAGGAAGACCCATGGGAGTTTTGCCATTGAGTCTGATGGACACCAGATTTCACCATCTTAGAGAAAGCTTTTGAACATAATTAGTACACGTATTATTGAACAAACACGTGATCCCATCATCACTTATGCACATGCTTAAGTTGAACCACATGCATAGTCCCACTGAAGTGAATGGGGCCAACTGAGAATCTTCAAGTTAAGCATGTACATAAGTTGCTGCAGAATCAGACCCCTATATCTTCACTGAGCCAATACTCTCTTGATGTCGGTGGGTATTATTTTTATACAAGGACCTAAGTCAGGATCCTGCAAGGCCTTATACACACAGAAGGCATGTTAACAAGATATCTCATAGTACCTGCAAAACAGCTTTCCCCTCAATGAATGTGAGGCAAACTACATCTGCATTAACCACAGAATAAGACTGTGCACATAGTTCATTGCTGCCAAGTAGCTGATATGCTGGATGTCCACGTTCGAACTTACTTCAGGATAACTTGTTCGTGTACCCACACCAATGCTCACGCTGAAATCAATGAGCAATACTCACCTGAGTAGGAATAGTCCAGAGAGAACTCACTTTTTGTAGATCAGCTCTGTTGCAACTCAGTGATGTCCCCTTAAACTCGGGAGTCATAACTTTGATTCATCAACTTCAATAAACCTATTCAGGTAAGTAAGATGTTGCAGTTGATACCTAGTCATTATGTAAGAACCCCATTGATTTCAATAACTAAAGGCTTCAGGATCTTGTCCACTGAATTGAACCCCATTAAAGTATCTATTCCATACCAGGCTTTTGACTACGGAAGTTCTTTTCTTCTTCCTGCCTCAGATAAATAACAAATTCAACACACGCATACAATCGCACGCACACACATACATATATGTACACACATAAAAACCGCCATACGTTCTGAATCAGCCTTTGTACAAATAGATGCTGAAGACAGAGCAAAGTGGTATTGAAGTCCAAATTGTCCTGGAAGAGTCTTTATGCCATAGAAGGTTGAGTGAAGCTCCTCTGACTGGAGCTCTTACGACTCAGGACAAACGAGGAGGAGTTGCTTTTCTTGCTGACGCTAAGGTCACAGCCTTGCCGGGATTTTAAGTAGCGGGTAGAACAGCAGAGGAACCGTTGCATAAGGTCATGGAAGAGATGGCCTGTGTAAAGCATGTAGATCCAGGGATTGCAACAGCTGTTTAAACTTGCTAGGAGCATGGCAATGATAAATGGGGAAGCTGCAAAACAGATGAAAACACAAAAGAAATATTAAAGTGCCACTCAGGGAAACTCCAGACAAAGGCAGGAAAAGCTGGGCATATCTGACAGGAAGTAATGATGGCTTTTGGAGACCCTGATCCCTGGAGTCCACTCCAACCTCCAAGCTTGACCACCCCAAATCACAAATCTGTGGGCCTGGCCCCCCTGACTTAATATCATGACTATATGCCAATGAACCCATCCATATTCCAGCTAAGAAAAAGCAGTGTCCCTTTTAAGCAAAAATACTCCGCTGCTGAGTTTGGTGAACAAATGATGAAAAACATGAGGAATAAAAAGAAGTCAGTGTTTTAAGTTATATATATTTTTAAGTTTTCTTCAACCCCAAATTATTTTTTGCAACGCTGGATATATTTCACTGGACAGCCAAAACACCAGAACTCAGATCCACTCTGACCATCTGCTGTTATCTGGCTGGGGAGGAAGGAATAAGCTCTCTAGATGTTGTGATATCAAGAAGGTAGGGAGAAAGATGGAAACACAAGAAAGACGCTACCTATTCCCACATCAGGCAGTTTAGACATCTCTGGTCATTTTATTTACTCAGTCTATAGTCTGAAGAGAATGAGATTGCACTTCTCCAGGCTTTCACATAGGTATGTTCACACTCTGGTAACCTGATTAGAGCGATTCTCCATTAAAATAGGAAGAGTGTCATGCAAAGCTTTACCTTTGAAAATTATGGTTATTTCAATTTGTGTAAAAAAGTCTGATTGTGTGATCATGATTCTTCAATGTACAGTTAATTCAAGGGAGTAGAAAGTGGAAGCAGGTGGCAATGTACCAAAAGCAAATGCATCCAAATGATTTTTTGTTTCCAAAGCGCCCAGAATAATTGGCTATTCTCTTTGCAGCTGAGGTCTGTGCACTGAAAACATAAGGGGAGTTAAATCTGCAACTCCAGAAGTACAATTTGTGAGAGACATTTTTCATGTGTGAATGATAAAGATAATCAAGTCATTACTGGTATTTCAGGAGCCCTAGCACATTCCAAACATTCAGAAGTCAGTATTATGGATGCAAAGGGCATCCAGGCCTACATGGGCAGACAGCAACATCTCCTACAATGACTGAAGTCATTTCACACTCATGGGGTCTGGTCCAAAGCCTTCTGAAGTGATTGGGAGTCCTTAGATAAGGTTCATTAAGCCCAAAAAGACAAAGTACATGGGAGTTAAATCTATCCACTGGCCCAGAGGCTGAAAATGGAACGGTCTAATAAAGAAGGTTTCTTATTCACAGCTTGTCTTCTGTGCTTACCCCAGCAACAAGGCAGGGGGCAAGGAGAAGCTATATTTTACAAAGGAAATACCAAGCCAACCCCCAGAAATAGAAATTTTAAAAAAAGAAAAGATTTAGTCCTAGCTTATAGGAATCACATTGAGGCAGTTGCTTTTACCCTTTAATAACACAGCGTTCCATTTACACAGTTATGAACTAGGTCGAACCTACTCCAGTCGCTTCTACCTTCAGTTATACTGACTGCATATCTACTCACAACCCCTAGCAAGTACACATCAAATTCCTCAAGTAACAGCTACCTGGCATCCAGCCACATGGCTACATAAGCACTTGCATCCTGACTTCGATATATTCCAGAGGCAACTGTGCATGGCTAGTTTAGCCTAGATAGAAATGCAAGGTATGAGGCCTAGCGCTGTGAGAACTTCACCAACAGCAGCGATGGTCAAAATAGGGAGAGCAGGGTTAGAGGAACAAGGGAAAGAGTTCACAAAGGGCACTGACAGACATTCAGGCCCCTGCTCTAACTCATGGCGCTTTACATAAAGTGCCATCAGTTAAAGTGCCCCCTCCCAACCTAACAGACCTCCCCCCCAATCTAACTCCCCTGTTGGATGGGGGTGGGGAGAGGGTATCAAGCCTGCCTAGCAAACCAAGGATCCACCCCTCTCACCAGCCCTGCCACCCCCAGCTCTGGGGCTGTCATCAGGGGTAGAAAAGGAGGAAGGAGGGGCAAGCCAGCAGCAGTGAGCTACTCCTTTCATGAGTTGCTGGCTTGCCTGGCCTGAGCTGGAGGGGGCAGGGGGTAGATCAAAGCCCCCTTGCCTCATGGGCCTGGCCCAGCTCTCCCCAGTACCCCAACCATGGGGGCTAGAGGAGGGAGTGAGGCAGGAGGCTCCAATCCACCACCTACCCCCTGCACCTCAGGCTGGGCAAGCCAGCAGCTCATGAAAGGATAAGCTTACTGCTGCTGGCTTGTCCCTCCCTCCCTCCCTGATGACAGCCCCGGGGGCAGGGCTGGGCTGCATCAGCCCAGCTCCAATTGTACAAAAAATAAACCCTAGGAAACACAAGATCCCTAAGGTGCTCTAAAGTGGAGCACCTTCATCTGATACCTCA